GGCTTGTAGGCAGAGGAAATAGCTTTCATTAGACAAACTGATACTAATTATATAGTGAATGAAAAATGCATTTCTTTGCCTCGCTCTTGAATTTGCCAGCTGTTTTCACTCTGTGCCCCTGGGCGGTTAAATGAGAAGCACCCCCTCTTCACTGCTCTGTATTTTAGGTCATTTTAATAGTGCCCTTGCTTATACGTCTCCTTTCTAGAGTGAACAACCCCAGCTTTTACGGGTTTCCTATGCCCTGAGCCCTTCTTCTTTCTGGGAAGGACCAGTCTTTTTGCACGTACCATAAGTGAAAAATCAGTGATGGTCTGTGAATTAGCTGGGCCATCATTTATCGTACGGCTCTTCACTGCAGTCTTTCTCTGTTCCAACAGCCTGGTGGCTTTTTGTCTGACACCTCGTGCTTGTGGGACTGCCAACATGGATCCCTCGGTCACGTCCGTGAGTTAATTGAGAGCCGTTCTCTAAGACAGATAAGTACTTCTAAGTATGAATTATTTTGTCAGGGTGAAATATAAGTAAGTTCTTCTAAAGGATTAATTCAGGTATATTTTTGCAATCTGTGCATTTTTTTTTCATTCTCAGATCATCAGCAGATACATTAAATGTTGGACCCAAACCAGAACCTTGCTACACTCTGCTGTTTATCTTCTGTACCCATGAGCATTTACAAGAAATAAGAAAACAAAACTAAAATAAAGGGTAGGAGAACTAGATTACTTTCACCATTTTTCAAGCACAATTAATTGCACCACATTGCAGTGCCAAACAGAGGTGTTACTTACATCATTCCTTCTTAATATAATGATTCCCTTTTTTCTTACATGTTTTTCTCCAAGTCAAAATAATTTAGCGTTGACATCTAAATTTTGACTTTTTATCTATCTCAGAGGGGCAGAACACTTTGTTCTGGGGAAGGCAAGGCAAGGCAAGGCAATGGAGCGAAGGAGAGGAGAGGAGAGGAGAGGAGAGGAGAAAGAGAATATTTCAGACCTTACAATTTACAAAGCTGCTACACTTTACTAATAATTAAAGCTACACAAATAACAATCAGAAATCTAATATGCCACATCATCCTGTAATTATTGTTTAAAGTTTTTGCCACTATTTCAGCCTTTTCTTACAAGTAGCTAAATATGTATGATTCTCTGTAATTTCATGTTTTGTGCGTATTATTATGAAATTATTTGTCTTTCTTTAATCTTTAAGGTCATTTAATTATTGTTTTTTCTCTATCAATGTGACATAAAAGAAGAAATATTCTGTTTTCTCTAATAAGAATGAAATTAAAAATAATTTCCTAAGCCATCTTATTTTGAAAAGATAAATTTTAAAAGCAATGAGACTATCATTTTTAATTACACAAACAAATCGTTTCATGTTTTAGAGCACACAACAGTCAAGGGTCATTTGTTTAGCATATTCAGCTCAGATTTCCAATGCAGCTCATATTTTGTTTGTCCTGACTTCACTATCTCCATCTTCGCTGTAACACAATACTAAAATATATGAAGACCTGACCTTTCTTGCAGCTGTTCGTATTTCTGAGCACCGATGTTCCCTTCTCCTCTGGCTTAACATCTTATTGAACCTGTGATGGCTTGGTTGCCCTCCAAGAGTTGTGATGGCTTGGTTGCCCTCCAAGAACCAGCCTCCGTCCAAATTCCTGAGCACACTGTTGCTGACTACCCAGGTACCCCTCTGTAGGGTCTTTTCCCACGGGGAATGCTCTGCCATCCTTCCACCCTTCTTTCTGCCCCACCAACACAGCCTGAGCCACCAAGTGGAGCTCTGACTGTGCTGCCAGAGCACCCTACAGCCAAATATCTCAAGCCAATGTCCACAAACTAGTGCTTTAGAGTTGATAATATAACATGAGAAATTAAGGTCACAGGTATTTTATCAATGGGTAAACTAAGGACGTGAAGTTTAAGGCACTTTCCAAGGGCCGTGTGTCTGCGGAGCCAGAAATAACAATAAAATAAATTATGTTTAATGAAGTCTATTAAATAGAATCACATCAAGTAGATTTTACTTCTCCCACTAATCAGTAGTCTTTAGCAAATCCTTAATTGTCATAAATTACAGTGACCTTCCTGGAAACATTGAAACTTCCGCAATTTCCAGAAAGAAAAACTGGCCCATTTATTTGTGATTCACCTTTTCTCTTCTTGACAAAGGAATCAAACCGCAAAACTTTTTCATGCAGGGGATCCCTGAGGATATGATGTTAAGCTTGGCTGGTACTGAAATTCGGAGTAGGGCAACCACCTGCTTTACAAGATTTCAGGCAAAACCTGTTGGTTTTAGCAAAACATACCTTGGTGGGTTTTTTTTAACTTCAGTCTGCTGTTGAGATAGGGAAATGCTGAAAGCCCAACCTCCTTTTCTACGCTTCCCTCGTGCAGTTGGTTAAGTTTCAGAGATGTGTGTTTGAAACAGTGTTTGAAAGGGTTGAGCACCATTTCATCTGAAATGCTGTAGCAGTCCCCTCTTGGTGCTCACCTTTTGTCATGGCCAGCGTGTGAAATATCTAATGGGTAAGCAGCGACTCGAGGAGCCCTTAGGAGCCACCAAACTGTTCAATCAGTTTGGCTCTGGAAATACTGAGCCAGAGTCAGATTAAGATGTGCAAAGAGCCTGCGAGCAGAGTTACATGACCATAAACTTGGTATGAGGGGACACCAAGCAGAAGAAAGCAGATGACAAAGGCACAATTTGCTTGCTCTTAACCCTGCCTCTGTAACATCACAGGCTATCTCTAAGCTATATTTTCCACTGCATTGCAGGCTTGCAAAACTTTTAATGGAACAAGTTTTTCTGGCAGAAGAACATTGATTTTTATCTTTAATGAGCAGCCTCTCTATCATTTAGCTTCAGGACAGAGCTTCCTGGTTGTAAACTGCCTGGGAGTGCTGACAGCCACTCAACTTCAAAAGCAGCCAGGAGAAACTTTCTCGCTAAGTTTGGGAAGGAATTAGAAAATGCTGAAAGGTGCAGAGGATGTTGTTACGGAGCAGGAGGACTCCGCTTCCCGACGTGGAGAAATGACAAGTTGGGATATCAATGACATCAAACTTCCCCAGGTATGTGTCTGTGTCTTGGAAATGTGTCCAGTTCTGACCTGTCATCTCCACTTCACTGCTGATCGTAAATGCTTTCTCAGTTACCTATGCCTCATTGCCTTCGTTCTCTTTGCCGCTTCAGGGTATGGAACACTGGGTTTTACTGAAAAGCTAGAAAATATTGAGCAAATATTGACGTTTCCATGCATTTTTCTTTAAATGTATTGTTGGAAGAGCTGCTGATATATGAAAGATAGCCATGCTGCAGATGTGTTTTCTTTCTAGTCCACTGGCAGATGAGGTGCAGAGATAAAAATTATCTCCTGCTGTGGGTGTTCAATGACAGATGTCCAGGATTTACTTTTTGCCCTGGGTAGTGCTTTATGAGGAGTGAACACAGCACCCACGACTGCCTTCCAACCCTGGGTGCTCAGCCGTCCTGCAGGTCGGGCTGCAGGCCAGCGGGCTGGCTTTCCACTGAGAGGCAACTCTCATTTTGTGAGCACTGAGGAAAAGTTTGCTTTGGGCTTGCAGAGATTTGCTGAGAGGCAGAGCAGTGATATTTCCATCCTTTTCTAATCCTCCTTCCTAAAAATCTCAACCATGCTCTCCACTGAAAGCCCACAGTACCCTGGACACCAATGTTATCTCCCTGTCCCTCACCTCGTCATATTTATGCCAGATTCCTCCTGCTGTGGTCCTTCGACATCCAGCTCTGCCTTTCCACTCCCAGCCCTGCCTTCTTCCCTGATCCCAGTCCCTTCCCTGAGACGCCACTGTTGTTCATCCAAAGCCTCCGTGGCCCAGGCTGCCTCCGTTCCCTGCACTCCACCCCAAGGTCACCTTCACCTGCATTTCAGCCTGGAGGCTTCCTCCACACCCTTCTCTACACTACACTGTCTGATGTTCCTGGGGGAGCACCGGAGTTTTTCTCTTCTCAGCTGGTGCTCGTGCTGCTGTAATGGCTCTCAGTGGCTGGGATCAGCATTTTCAAGGAAATTCCTACAAAGTTTTTGAACCCTTACAAGACCTTTTCCCTCAAAAGCATCAGCAGGTATGCTAGGTGCTTAGGCCAGGCTTTCCTGATGCTTTGGGGCTCACTGGGAGCCATGGGGAGCTGTGGTTTCTTTGCCTTCTCTAAACTGCTCCCTCCTGCCAACCAGCATCACCTGCCGGGATGCTGGGGTCACCCAGGCTAGAGGACACCCAGCAGAGGACCAGGTCTGCTGACCTCTTGCACAAGCTCTTCCCTTCTCCAGCCTAAAATGTGGCTTGCTTTGGTCTCTCCACAGGACATAAGACAGATAGACTGGTTTCAAGAATGGCCGGATTCCTACGTAAAACATATTTATAGCTCAGAGGATAAAAATGCTCAGAGGCATCACAGCAGCTGGGCGATGAGAAACACCAACAACCACAACTCTCGCATCTTAAAAAAGTCCTGTCTCGGGGTGGTGGTCTGCAGCAACGACTGCTCGACCTTGGATGGGAGGAAGATCTACCTGAGGCCAGCCATATGTCATCTGAAATGCTGTAACAGTCCCCTCTTGGTGCTCACCTTTTGTCATGGCCAGCGTGTGAAATATCTAATGGGTAAGCAGCGACTCGAGGAGCCCTTAGGAGCCACCAAACTGTTCAATCAGTTTGGCTCTGGAAATACTGAGCCAGAGTCAGATTAAGATGTGCAAAGAGCCTGCGAGCAGAGTTACATGACCATAAACTTGGTATGAGGGGACACCAAGCAGAAGAAAGCAGATGACAAAGGCACAATTTGCTTGCTCTTAACCCTGCCTCTGTAACATCACAGGCTATCTCTAAGCTATATTTTCCACTGCATTGCAGGCTTGCAAAACTTTTAATGGAACAAGTTTTTCTGGCAGAAGAACATTGATTTTTATCTTTAATGAGCAGCCTCTCTATCATTTAGCTTCAGGACAGAGCTTCCTGGTTGTAAACTGCCTGGGAGTGCTGACAGCCACTCAACTTCAAAAGCAGCCAGGAGAAACTTTCTCGCTAAGTTTGGGAAGGAATTAGAAAATGCTGAAAGGTGCAGAGGATGTTGTTACGGAGCAGGAGGACTCCGCTTCCCGACGTGGAGAAATGACAAGTTGGGATATCAATGACATCAAACTTCCCCAGGTATGTGTCTGTGTCTTGGAAATGTGTCCAGTTCTGACCTGTCATCTCCACTTCACTGCTGATCGTAAATGCTTTCTCAGTTACCTATGCCTCATTGCCTTCGTTCTCTTTGCCGCTTCAGGGTATGGAACACTGGGTTTTACTGAAAAGCTAGAAAATATTGAGCAAATATTGACGTTTCCATGCATTTTTCTTTAAATGTATTGTTGGAAGAGCTGCTGATATATGAAAGATAGCCATGCTGCAGATGTGTTTTCTTTCTAGTCCACTGGCAGATGAGGTGCAGAGATAAAAATTATCTCCTGCTGTGGGTGTTCAATGACAGATGTCCAGGATTTACTTTTTGCCCTGGGTAGTGCTTTATGAGGAGTGAACACAGCACCCACGACTGCCTTCCAACCCTGGGTGCTCAGCCGTCCTGCAGGTCGGGCTGCAGGCCAGCGGGCTGGCTTTCCACTGAGAGGCAACTCTCATTTTGTGAGCACTGAGGAAAAGTTTGCTTTGGGCTTGCAGAGATTTGCTGAGAGGCAGAGCAGTGATATTTCCATCCTTTTCTAATCCTCCTTCCTAAAAATCTCAACCATGCTCTCCACTGAAAGCCCACAGTACCCTGGACACCAATGTTATCTCCCTGTCCCTCACCTCGTCATATTTATGCCAGATTCCTCCTGCTGTGGTCCTTCGACATCCAGCTCTGCCTTTCCACTCCCAGCCCTGCCTTCTTCCCTGATCCCAGTCCCTTCCCTGAGACGCCACTGTTGTTCATCCAAAGCCTCCGTGGCCCAGGCTGCCTCCGTTCCCTGCACTCCACCCCAAGGTCACCTTCACCTGCATTTCAGCCTGGAGGCTTCCTCCACACCCTTCTCTACACTACACTGTCTGATGTTCCTGGGGGAGCACCAGAGTTTTTCTCTTCTCAGCTGGTGCTCGTGCTGCTGTAATGGCTCTCAGTGGCTGGGATCAGCATTTTCAAGGAAATTCCTACAAAGTTTTTGAACCCTTACAAGACCTTTTCCCTCAAAAGCATCAGCAGGTATGCTAGGTGCTTAGGCCAGGCTTTCCTGATGCTTTGGGGCTCACTGGGAGCCATGGGGAGCTGTGGTTTCTTTGCCTTCTCTAAACTGCTCCCTCCTGCCAACCAGCATCACCTGCCGGGATGCTGGGGTCACCCAGGCTAGAGGACACCCAGCAGAGGACCAGGTCTGCTGACCTCTTGCACAAGCTCTTCCCTTCTCCAGCCTAAAATGTGGCTTGCTTTGGTCTCTCCACAGGACATAAGACAGATAGACTGGTTTCAAGAATGGCCGGATTCCTACGTAAAACATATTTATAGCTCAGAGGATAAAAATGCTCAGAGGCATCACAGCAGCTGGGCGATGAGAAACACCAACAACCACAACTCTCGCATCTTAAAAAAGTCCTGTCTCGGGGTGGTGGTCTGCAGCAACGACTGCTCGACCTTGGATGGGAGGAAGATCTACCTGAGGCCAGCCATATGTGACAAAGCTAGGCAAAAACAGCAGCGTGAGTATGAGAATGTCTGTTCATTATATGGCAGTTCGTAAGTGAACACAACATAAGAGAACCCCAAGGAGAGGGCACCTTTTAGGTTATAAAACCTTCCCACTGCAATTCCTTATATTCAGATGCAACTTTTGATTTTGCAACAATGCGTTTTACATTTCTTACCATCGTGAGAGGAGTTGTTTGCTTGTTCTCTTTTTTTGTTGTTATTGTTTTTTTAATCCCTATTTCTGATGGTTAGAGATTGACTCTCAGCCTTCTGAGGCCCAGGAGTGAGGCTACTGAGAGAGCTGTGCCGTGCAGGCAGCTGCCTGCTGTGCTCTTCCTGCTGAACTAAGCATTGGCTTCATTATTAGGGGAAGTCTTGCAGGAAAGAAGTTACTTATAAACTGTGATGACTGGAAAATAGGCCCCGTAGTCATGTCATCAGAGCAAGACAATGCAAACAGAGAACATGAGCTGCACGCATACCTTTAACGAGATGAATTCAAACAATTGTTGATTGCTCAGTAGAGCTAGCACATACTGATTTCTGGATCTGATGAACGTTTTGGCTAAAGAAAGATATTACTTAAACACTCATAGAAGTCAGAAGGATGTCCTCTAGAAAAATCAGACAAGAACACATGACATTCCAGATACTGCCAAGTTGAAAACAACCAAAACTGACCATGATAATAAATGACAAAATTATATTAAAGTTATAATATAAATATTTTTTCCAGTTATATTTAATAATGGAACAGAATAAAGGCAATGATTGGTTTGCTTATATTGATTTTTGCTTACGTTTTAAAGGGTTTTTTGTGTAGTTTTTCCCAGTGTAGTTTCTGAGCCCCAAACCAGCGGTGGCAATCCACCACCGATGAGCCACTGTATCGCATGGGATTAATTTGATCAGCGTACAGAAAATATTTCCCACCATCTCTGCTCCAGGGAAGTGCTGTCCAAACTGCAACGGACCCCTGCGGCTCCTCTCCTGCAGAGGCCACGGTGGTTACCCAGTTACCAACTTCTGGAGGCATGAAGGCCAATTCATATTTTTTCAGGTTGGTATAAAAATACCTTACATTATGCAAGTTAGTTTTAAAACTGTTTTTTAAGACTGATTAAGGACATTCTCTGTTCCAATAAACAAGGGTTATTGAATATGACAAGGTCCAATGACTGTAAAGAGAAAAATTTTCACAATAAGTAAGGAAGGTCCTAAGCAACCTGATCTAACTCTGAAGTTAGTCCTGCCTGAGAACGAGGTTGAGCTAGACCTCCAGAGGTCCCTTCCAACCTAAATTAGCCCACGCTACTATGATTTTACAGCATATTATATTTTTCATCTAGGCTCCCATGAAAACCTCACAAAACACTGCCTCAGGTACACAGGAATCAACAAATCCTGAAAAAGTCAGAAATACCATGTTATCTCAACCTCTTCTCCAAGGCACTACGCATCAGCATGAAGATATCTTAGAGCAGGAAATGGTTGTACCCAAGGGACTGTCTATGGAAAAATGCCATCTGTGCATTATATGTAACTTATATATGGAAAAAAGTATATCTAAGTGTTAAATAATGGGCACTATTCCTGGAAGCTGTAGTCCTAGTTTAGTACCATAACCACTGAACTGTCTCCTGTTTTGCAGTCTTTCACTTATGTGCAGGTTAAAATTAATTCGCCATGGAAGCTAATGGAAATTAATCTTCTGATAAATATTTCTAATGTGAGAAAAATGGAAATGACTGCAGGGACACTGTAGCTAGGCTGCAGAAGACCTTGTGGCTTCGTGGGGTGTCTCTTCTGCACATAAATGTGGTGCACTTGTTTTATTACTTCAGAGAATTTCTACTCCATCACACTTCATCTGAGATATGTTTATTACGTTAATAAGTCTTATTAAATACAAAGAATTAAATCAAGCCACATGTGTGGTTTTGGCCTGTGCTACAAATTCTGCTCCAGTAAGATTAATAACAAGGTTTTTTCTAACTTGAACATGTCTTTTCTAAAGTCCAAAGGAGCTCATGACCATCCACGTCCAGAAACAAAACTAGAAGCAGAAGCACGAAGATCAATCCAAAAAGCACAGACAGCTTTTTCTCCATCTTCTCCGAGATTAAAAAGAATCCAGGAGATTGAGGTAACTCTTATTACTGCTCAATGAAAATGTGGGGTTAGTGATCCATAGTTCAAGGCATGGTGGAGGCAATTTGGGCTTTGGGTCTGGGTGGGAGCCGGCTTTATATCTCCTCATTCTGCCGCCCCATGGTTAGGCCAAGAAGGAGCAGGGCTGCCCCGAGCATCCTCCTCTGCACAGCATTGTCATCCACTGCTGTCTGGAGCCTCTCTGGGCAGGGGATTACATCTGTGCTGGTAAACAAAGCAGGACCAGAGGGCAGGCTCATTCAGATCACCATTCACATGGTCCCTGCCATGGATTTGGCCAGTGCTAACTTGTGCTCACAGACAAAATGCCCTGGCACAGGTCGGGAGGACAGCGTGTGCCAGGGACCATCCCCTGGCAGGATTATGGACAAGGTTGCATCAGGTTTGGATCTCTTCCCTGTACACAGCTGTCTTTGAAGCCACATGTGCTCCTATGTGCTGTCATGCTACAAGCCACAGGCAACAAGAACCTCAAGTAGATGCTGTGAAAAATAGCTCTTGGTGGGCTGCAACACAGCCCGTGCATCATTTCACTTCAGGTCCAGGGGTTTTCCAAGGCCAGGATGTCACCAACGACAGCCCTTGGCCTCCTTTAGTTCAGCAGCTTGGACTTAGCTTTAGACTCTCAGCTCTTTCCTTTTTAAAATGCAAAAGTTGCCTTTAAAAAAAATATCCTACCAGTTGTTTGTTAGTGCTGCTCCAGAAATTAAATTACTTACAAAGAAGTGTGGGAATAAAGTAATTAGATATTTAGTCTAACCCGTATTGGCATTGAAGGAGAATGTTAGAAGGTTCTAATTTGATTTAACTTACAGAATTCATTGCACCACCCCATGAAAGAATTCTAACAAATGAACACTTGAAAACTGAAAAATACTTTTGGCAATAACTGAACTCAGGAGGAAGATCTGTGTATGTGTGTACACATACACACACAGAGTGTAATATTTTCCTATAGAATACAATATATAACATTACCTATATGATATGCCTATTACATACTGTGTATTGCATCTTGACAAAACAAACTTGCAATTAGAGAAGGCAAATCCAGAAACCCTTACTCCAGTCCCCCAACCATTACTTAAGAAAATCCAATTACTTCAGTAACAGGCCTGGATCATTTTACTCACAAACTTAATGCCCATCAGGGAGAGAGATGGTCTCCTGCAGGGTGGCTGTTCCTGAGCAGGATTTGGCCACCTGCAAACCCTTAAGGGCTGTGAGGGCACCCTCAGGTGCAGGAGGCACTGCTGCATCTTTGGAGAGACAGGAGGTCATGTTTTCTCCACATTCACATGTGTCCCGAGGTCCTCCACTAACAAGGAGGAGGTGCTGCAGAGAAACCAAGGCACCCTCCACCTCTGCTTATCCTGCCTAGGTTTTGCTAGGGTAGATAAGGTGAAGGTGCATCCCCTCTGCATGGTGTGCTCCACTTGTTCTCTGGTTCTCCAGGAGGGCTTTGAAGGCAGAGAGTGCTTTAAAGGACTTACAGAAGCACTGACATTACAACTTTGTCTCTTCTGCATGTGAAAACGCTTGTGAAAGCACTATGGACTGTCTTGTGCCTGATGGAGGGAACCAGGTTGAGCAGTGAGGCTGTCTCCAGTGACCTTTCTTCCAAAGGCTGTGTTACACACAACTGTACACCACCAGTCTTTACACGCAGTTTGTTTTTTCATGTACTAGAGGTGGTGCATCCTCCCCAGCCAGGTGTTTGGGGTAGTAACCAGTAACCCTTCAGCTACAGGCAGAAGGGCTAACTGGACTGGATAGGGACAGACTTCTTCAAATGGATGACGTGGGAAAGCAAGGGGATCCAGGACCCCAAGAAGACGACTAATAGAGTGAACAGAGGAAGTTAAACCCATTTGAACAGAATATGAATTTAGGAGCTGTGGCTATTTCTACTGGAAATACTCAGGAGTACACTAAAACCCAGAGCTCGTGAGAGACTGGTAGCAGCCTCTTGACACAAGCACCTGGGAACACAAGAACACATAAGAAAAAGCCACTGTGTAAATCTCTAAACAAATACAGAAACAATGATTTTCGTATCACTGGTTTAATTCTGTCCCCATGAACACTAAAATAGCCCTCACCTAGGAAATGTTACTGAGTCACACGTCTTTTTTTCTTTTATACCTGAGCCTACTGGACTTACTGAGGTCAAGTTCCCTCAGCAAGGGAACTTGCAAGGGAACATTCCCTCAGAATGCCTTCTCCTTTCCCTTCCTACAATATCTTCCTGGTGTTTTCACTTCGAATTATGTGGGAGTAGAAACAGACCAAAGATGTCATAAATATCTAATTGTAGAGCCTGCTCTTCAGCTGGTCTGTCTCTGTGCAGTCAGAGTGATACCATTTACCCTCAGCTGGCTTTGGAGTTCGTGGCTCTCCGGTATGTTTTTCTTGAGAATAACCACCCACATTCATGTTCTGCCAAGACTGGTTGTGATACAACTAACCCAGGAGTCTGATTTGACACACAGAACTCGTGTTGCTGAATCAGCAGAAAGTCTGCTGAAAAGATTCAATTTTAATGTGCTCACAAAAGGCCAGGGAGGAGAACTTCAGAAAAGTGCATGAGCCCAAAATAGGGCAAGTCATACATTCTCTACAGCCTCAGCAGGTCTTTAGGTGAAGGTGGGCTGGGTCCTACATCAGGTTGTTGCAATGTCTTCTCACGGTGAGTGGAGAACAGCTGAAAGGAGCTTTGGTACTCCGGCAGTCAGCAAAATCACTATAATTAAATGGACACAAAAGCAGAATTACAAGGAAGAGAGACCTGTGAGTACTCATCAGAAATGATAGCACAGAATGAGTGTTCTGAAAGGAATTAAAGTTTGCAAAATTATAATCCAATAATTAGAGCAATTATAGAAGTTGTGAAGTGTCCAGAACAAAAGACCCAGGAGAATAAGTCTTGTGTGCTGCTCCCTCCCTAATTAAATTTGTTTGTGGGGTAAAGATAGGGAAAGTTATCAGTTAGAAATAGAGTCTTGAAAAGCTGAAGCAGAATATTATTCTAGTGAAAAGATGACTTCAAAACAATCAATTTTTAAAAAGCATACTTAGCTTTTCCAAACTCCATAGGAAAAAAAAAATAATTCTGTGGTGTCAAACGTATTAGCATAATTTCATTTTCAGGTGCTTCTTCAGTATATGCTGGCAGGGCTGTGAAGGCTGGATATAACAATTCTTTCAGTGTAAATCAGGCGTTGGGCAAAAACTGGTGAAACAAACCTAGACCTGTGATCTGGGAGCCCTCTTTGGTTTGCCCCTAAAGCCCACTGGCACTGCCCTGTAAGGAGGCTCTGCTATGGCGTCTGCTTCATTACCTGTATTAATTGAATGTGTTTGTTAGGGTCTAGAACAGGATGGTTTTTATTTCATAGAATCACAGAATGGCTGGAATTGGAAGGGACCTTAAAGATCATCGAGTTCCAACCCCCCTGCCATGGGCAGGGACACCTCCTACTAGACCAGGTTGCTCTAAGCCCCATCCAGCCTGGTCTTGAACCCCTCCAGGGATGGGGCAGCCACAGCTTCCCTGGGCAACCTCTTCCAGTGCCTCACCACCCTCACAGCAAAGAATTTCTTTCATGCTGCTGGACTACACCTTGTTTTACTAAACCATGCCTTGTTTTCCCAAGTCTCTGCCAGGTGCAACGCCGACGCAGGAGGCTTTGCCTTTGCTCCTTTCCAAGCCAGACGCTGACCTGCAGCCTGCTCCTTTCAGGGGACATTTCAGCAAAAGCTCCCGGGAGCTGACACTGGGCAGCTCCTCTGGGCGGCCACAGTTCCCAAAGGCAGCTGGGGAGGACGGGGGCTCTGGAGAGGCACCAACCTGCAGCAGGAGCCCATCCCTGGGGAGGACCTCCATTGCTGGGAGGTCCTGCCGCGGCCCTGCCATCCCACCCTGCACAGCCCCTTCCCCCCGGCACTGCACCCACCCTGGCAGCCAGCACGTCCTGCCCGTGACAAAGGGTGACCATGGCCCCTTCAGGCCTAACGCTGGCCCTTTGGGGAATGGGTCCCCACCGGCCTACAGCAGCAGCTGCCTCCTTCCACCACCCTACCCTGAGCCCCATGGCGGGCCCTGCCCCATGGCAATCCACCCACAGCTCCCGCCACCTCCCAGGGGAAGCCAAGGAGATGGGGGTGAGGGAGGGCGATGTACAGGTCTCAACTACTGCCAGGATGACACGTTTTTTGACCTGTACCCCTTACGGTGACCAGGTCTAAATGTCCTCACTCCCCCTTCCTCTGGCAACAGGCCTAATTCTCCATCCCCATTGTCACGTGGATGTGAAAGTGCTACCGTGCCAAATACCTCTTTGGCTACTCTTGCAGGGCTCAGGAGGGGCTTTCGTACCTGAAGACTTGTCTTTGTTCTTTTTTTATTGTTACCTGTCATATTTTCCCCCACTATTTCATTGATCTAATAAAAGGCATCAGCTCTTCTTACAGACCAACTCACTGCCATTCTGGTTTGGTAGCATTTCAATCCCCCTCAATACTCAGGTTGTTCGAGCCCATGGGACTGTGGAAGGGGCAGATGGACAACCTCAAGGATCACAGCTGTCATGTGCGACGCTCTGCACTCTCCCAGCTTCTTCAGGTGGTGATCTAAGTCCCTCCACTGGACCAGCCCCATAAACGTACTGTATAGAATCACCACAGAACGGTTTGGGTTGGAGGGGACCTTCAAAAATCATCTAGTCCAACCCCTCTGCCATGGGCAGGCACATTCTTCACTAGATCTGGTTGCTCAAAGCCCCATCCAGCCTGGCCTTGAACACCTCCAGGGATGGGGCAGCCACAGCTTCTCTGGGCAACCTGTTCCAGTGTCTCACCACACTCACAAAAACATTTCCTCCCCAAGTTCCATTTAAACCTACTCTTTTTCAGCTTAAAAACACCGTCTCTCATACAGGCCTCGGTAAAAAGTCTTTCTCCATCTTTCTAATAAGCCCCCTTCATATATTGAAAGGCTGCAATAAGATGTCCCCAAAACCTGGTCTTCTCCAGGCTGAACAACCCCAACTCTCTCAGCCTGCCCTTGTAGCAGAGGTGCCCCAGCCCTCTGATCACTTCTGTGGCCCTCTGTACTCATGTCGACTGGTCCATGTCTTTCCTGTGCTGAGGACCCCAAAGCTGGACATGGGACTCCAGGTGGGGTCTCACCAGAGCAGAGCAGAGGGGCAGAATCACCTCTCGCGACCTGTTGGCCACAATTCTTTTGATGCAGCCCATGATCCAATAGACTTTCTGGGCTGAAATTGCACACTGCTGGCTCCCGTCCTATTTGTCATCCACTAGTACACCTATGTCCTTCCCTGCAGGGCAGAACCCAGTTTCATACACATATATATTCAAGGTGCCTTGTTGCTTTTTCAAGCACTTGTCACTTCTTTATTGTGGACTGTAACAAATCCTTCGGCATCTTTTCCATACATCATCCCCTTTTCTGACTACTACCGTTTCAGCAAGAGCTGTCAGTTCTCTACATTTGTTTTAAAAAGCAGGGTGCCAAATATGAATTTTCTTGCCTGAATTTTGTGACCAGCTCAGAGACCTTTGGCAAAGATTCCTTTATCTTTTCCCATAATCCACATCTGCGTGGCTTCCCTGCATGACTGGGCTCTGCTGCTCCCAGGGCTGGGTTTCAGGGACCACCAGCCCTCACCCTGCAGAGGGTGGTGCTGACAAAGTCCCCACTGTCACCTCTGCAAGGACGAGCTGGGGGATGTCAGGTCCAGAGCCACATTTCATGGCTGGTTCCTTTAACCACCATGAAGGTAGACAGCCTTAGCTCCACAGGCTGCCCAGCTGGTGGTCCTAACCATGTTCTGCCCTCCCTGTGGTGCAAGCTGTGCCCTGGCGGTACGAGGCAAAAGAAACCTTTTATTGGGATGAGACTGGGAGGACAGTATTATGAAACAAGTGGCAATAAAAACTTCTTAGTATCTCAGACTGTGCGGTATTTCCTGTCCATCAAACTTCATTCTTACCTTTTTTTTTTTTCTTTCTAGTTTTCTTCTTTTTAGTTTCCCTCTTTTTAAAAAAAAGACTTTGGAATATAGCGGTTACTAGGGAAATCACTCTCAATGCAAAGGGCGGAGTTTAGAGACATTTACGAGACAAGAACAAATTATATTTATAGAGTGTTTCAAAATGTTTATTGCGATTTTTGAAACAGGGGATGTGTAGTGATTTGTTTTATATGGAAACAATCTAAATGTAGATCACAAAATGACAAGTCCACTGTTGCATGTGAAGGTCAGTTCACCAAACTTTTATTCAGCCTGTGAGTTAGTCCCACACTAACACCAAATTTTGTGTGGTTTATGATGATTCTTCAGATCAGTAACTCAGAGAAGCAAACTTTGATCAAGGGTAATAACAACCTCCACCTCTAAGACAGAAAAGGGGAAATCAATGGGAGCCGTAAGCACTTGTGCTCCAGGAGGTGAGTTGCAGGGCGAGGGCCAGGCAGGTCCCCCAGGGCTGTGTGTCCCATAGCTGAGATTCCTCTGCCACTGCCAAACCGGTCCCACCAGCGAGGGACTAAACAGGGCATGGGCTCTGCCTGTTGCCATCCTTCTCTGTCTCATCAGCCTCTCCTCTCAACTCCAGACCATGCAGACGTGTGGCTGGGAGGCTCCTCAGACATTGTTCCCGCACAAAACTACCATCCATTCCTTTCACACCCACCAACCCCTTCCTCAGTTTTTAAAAACTTCCAGCAAAGGGGATTTGGTAACAAATCCCACAGCCTGTTCCACAGCTTCACTCTCCCAATCCCAACTGTTAGCACTTTTCCCTCACGTTTGATTTTCTTTCCTGCGGATAAACCATTTCTTCAAGTCTTTGAAGATGGGTATTGTCCAGTTACCGAGTTTCACAGACTTCCTCAAGGACTATTAGTACCAAACCGTCCTAAAAGACAATCATTACCAAAGCTGTCTTCCTGCCTGAGAAGCAGGAAGCTTTACGTTGGTTTGCCTTTAGGTCTGAACCAAAAGGTTTCCAAAACAAAACCTTTTCCTGTGAGCACAGCCCCTATTCATGCAGTGTTCATCACACCCAGTACGTTTCTGAGAGGAACACATCTCAGGCTCAAGGAGGACAGGTTATGCCTTTTTAAAAAGGAGGAAGCTAAGACTTGATGGTTTTTCTAAGGCTAAACACAGAAAGGCTTTCCAGATTTACGAGCTGCCGGGGTCAGTTTGACTTTTCCATGTTCTTGCACTGACTTCTGTGCTGGCAGCAACTCCCTCCACTTTTGGTACAATCAGCATGGTAGGTCAATATAGCACCAAATTTATATTCTTTTGGCTCCAAATAGGAAGATACCAATCCCAGCTCTGACCTTCACAAAAATGACTTTTTTTGCAACATATTTGGAATATGTGAAAAGAAATATATGTATGTCACTCCTTTAAGCCTCTCATAACTAGCTCTATTGTGCCCAGTTGGGTGGTGGCAAGAATCACAGGGGAACGATGCTACTAAACGCGTTATCCTCTGCAATTTTAAGAAAATATGCTGAACACTGAGATTATTCAGGATAGCTTCATGAAGAAACACCAATTGATATGCGAGGATCCACTCACAGGTAACTGTAACCTGATTCTCTGCTGCAGAAAATGGTTAAGACACAGCTGCTGTAAACTATCAGGAAGGCAGCAGAGATGCAAGGAGGTCAGGGTGTGGATGATCACACAGGCAAAATGTTTTGTTCTGGCTTATCAGAGTTTCAGGTGGCTGTAGCTACTGCCAAAGCTTATGCAAATATCCCTGTGGATGGTCTGCACACTGACAGCTTTCCCTAGCTCGTAGCTTTGAAAGCACTGGCCTCAATATTTAAGGGATAATTCTTTGGGAGTAATCCCTATGCTTGCTCTGAAGCAAATATTTTTATATATTTATATATATATATATATATTTTATATATTTATATATTTTATATATATTAAAATATATTTTCTATTTTTTATATTATTTGTTTATATATTTTATAATACATTTTTATATTTCTTTCAGGGCCCTCCTGAGGCCATGAGAGAACCACAGCAATGTTGCTTGGAATGATACATTACCCGGGCTGTATCTTACAGAAACACAGCTTTTAGGAGGGTTTGGTTTTTTTTTGACTCATGCAGTATTTAAAGATTAATCTAGACATAAAATCAGAAGGAGCTATCTTAATAATACAAGGCAGCAGCTGGACACCTTGACTTTTTAGTGTATTTCTCCTCAGAATATCATTGTGAGAAAGGGAAATGCTTCTGTATCAGTCATACGGATGGGGAGAGGAGAAGGCAGCACAGGGATTTGACCCACATCTCTCCAGCCCTGGACACATACACACGCTTCATTCCTTCTGGCCTTGCTCTCCCCCAGGACTCTACCTTTTGCAGGTCAGACTGAGCACAGCCAAATATTTTCATTTTTCAACCCCTTGTACAAAGCCCCTGCCCTTTGGCAGACTGAGGCGACAAACTCTTTTTATATAAACTGCAAGGTTATGGACTATTTTCTAAAATACGGTCCTAAATGCATTCTCCGTATTTTTAATTGAAACAAGTGTGTCAAACTGCTGATGATAGAAAGGATTCCAGCTGAGGAAGCTTTAGGGGACACACTCTGAGTAATTGTACGAAGCTTTCATTTCCTTGTGGCCCTTGGGAGGTTTGCCAATCTGTATGTCTGCTACTCTTGGAAATTTTGCTCTGCTTCCCCTCAATGTGGTCATTTGGGGCTTTTTAAGTAATTATGGTCAAGAAGTTAGAATGGGACCACCTAATGTGTTCTACTTCACTGCAAGCAGAGCGTAGAAGTGGTCCCCGTGGTGGATCTCAGCAGGGGTATGGCCTTTCTGTGCCGGGAACAAGCTTCATGTGGCAGAGCAGAGACTGGCGCGGGCACCCAGGGGAGGCAGAGGAGGACGGGAAGGTGGCACAGTTTATTTAAGAACTAAAAATGAAGGAAGTCTGCTGGTGTCAGAATAAAAGTAGACGCAATCAGTAATCAAAGCAGAGCATGAAGAGGATATTAACACTGCGCATCTGAATGTGCTAAGCACTTTGGACCTGGCTCTCGTGCAAACTCCCTGATTCGGTACCATGCCCCTTTCCTGAGCTGCTCCAGCCCTCAGGCACTACGGGGTTTTTATCTTCCACAAGGTGAACTTCACCAACATTGCTCACCTCCTGGAGCAAGGAGGACTCACCACTGATGCAGGAGAACCAGGTTAGGGAGCACTTAAACAAACCTGACATACGTAAGTCCACAGGCCCTGATGGGATGCACCCGTGAGTGCTGAAGGAGATGGCAGATGTCACAGGGAGGCCATTCTTGGTAATCTTTGAAAGGTCATGGTGACTGGGAGAGTTTCCTGAAGGCTGGAAGAAAGCAGTATCCTGTCTTCAAGGAGAACAAGAAGGAAGATCTGGG